CTCGTACGCCTTCAGGGCACTTTTGGCCAGCGGGAGAGTTGTGAGGTTCGAACTCCAGCAACCTGAGGCTGACAGCTTTGTGGAAGCAGCCACTGAAAGGCCTGAGCTAGGGCCAGGCCCCCGTCTTTTTTTTTTTTAATTGAGAAACAAATATCAATGAGACAGTTTCAAAACTGATTAATAGGACAGTTTCAATAATTAATACATTAAACATTGTTATGTTCTTAGTGGTTATCCATAGCACAAGATGCAGACAGAATATCCTGTCCATAACTGGCCTGACTTACAATTGATTCAACACTTTTTTTTTTTTTTTTTTGTCTTTTTGTGACAGGTTTCCCTGTGTAGTTCAGGCTGGCCTTGAGCTGACTTTGTAGCCTATGCTGGTCTCGAACTCGCCATGATCCTCCTGTCTCAGCCTTTCAGTGCTGGGATTACAGGTGGGCACCACCACACCCGGCTTGATTCAATATTCCTAAGAATTGAAGGTATTAGTGGTGATAATACACATTACTGCCGTGTGTCACTGGTGTGACAGCTCCCCCAAAGAATAAAAAGGGGCAACTTGGGGCACTGGGGAGACGGGTTGGCAGCCTAAGCGCCTGCCTGGCAAGCACAGGCCTCGAGTTTGGTCCCCAGTACCACACCCTGTGCCAGCCGGAACCGCTACGTGGTGGCGCATGCCAGTAATCCCAGGATTAGTGAGGCTGAGACAGGAGGATCACTATGAGTCTGAGCTGTATAGCGAGACCCTATATCAAATAAATAAATTAAAACATTTTTTAAAAGGGGGGATTTCCTCTCCCTGCAAGTGGAGTTCACACTGAAACTGTGAAGCCCGAGGGTGCTTACCAGGACGCCTCCTGCCTGCCACACTATCACCCTCAGAGTCCTCCTCTAGCCACACTTCCTGTCACCCTTGTCACTGCTTCCCGAAAAGTCTCCAGGTACTTGAGGCATCAAGCAAACATGTCACACTGTTTCACAGGGGACCTTAGAGAACAAAATCTATTACTATGTAATGTTATCGAGTGTTTCTTGGAATAAGCAAGCCATCAGACAAATGTTAGGACAGGCTTGGCAACCTTTCTTTGGAAATTCTTTTTTTTTTTTTGTCCTGGGGTTGAGCCCAAGGTATTCACAAGGCCTGGCTAAGTCACTGAGGTGCCCAGGCTGGGCTTGGCCTTGGGGTCCTGTCCCAGCCTCTCATTGTGCTGGGCTTACAGGTGTGCACCACTATGCCTGGTTCACTGGAAACTGTTAACAGACAAAGGTCTTACTACTTTTCTTACTACATATCCCCAGCCTTTGTCTGGCTCCTTGCTGAAATCCTGCCTCTGTGAAGCATTCTGCTGCTCATGTCGGGGGTGCAAGGAGGAGCCCTTAGGGTGGGGCGGCCAGGTCCTGTCAGTCTACCCATGGGATTCACATCTTCTTATCAAATCTTCCCAGTGCTGAGAGTTGTCGTACAGACACCACTTTGTAAATAAGGAAACAGGCCTAAAGACAGTGAATAGAAGGATGGAGTGACTGCCCTGCAAAGATTTTTTTTTTTAAGACAGGGTCTTGCTACCTGGTCCAGGCTGGACTTGAATTCCTGCCTCAACTTCCTGAGGGCTGGAATCACAGGCATACGCCACCGTGCCTGTCTCTGACATTTAATGCCGTTTTTATAAGATAAATCTATAAAATCTTAAGGGCCAGCCAGATAGCTCAACAGACTAAAGTGCCTGCTTAGGCAGACACTGGGACCCGGGGTTCGATCCCCAGCGTGCTGTGCCAGCTCCACCACCAGGGGCAAGCTGAGATGGCAATCGAGACCGGGCATGGTGGTGCATGCTTGAAATCCCAGCACTTGGGAGGCTGCAAACAGGATCACTACAAGCCTGATCTACGTAGTAAGACCCTATAGACTCTGTACTAAAACAAAGACAAAAAGAAAAAAACCCAGATAACCACCAGTCCAAGATTATAGCCAGTAAGTGGCAGAATGGAGAATTGAACCCACATCAGAGCACGCTGGAGGCCCTGGGCTCAATCCCAAGAGCATCAACCAAAGCCCACTCTGACACATTTTCAGAGCCAGATCTTGCAGCCCTAAGTCTCACAGTCCCTACTACAGTCATGATGCATCCGGGGACCTGACAGGGCAGCTGGATGGCACCACGCAGTGGTGACTTGGAGAAAGCTTGGCTCCACCCTGGCCAGGAGCTCCTAACTGTGCCCAAATTCATCAAGGTCATCAGGGACACCAGTCCAGGGCTGTCACCACCTCAGTGAGCAAAATGCCAGAGTTCTGTGACCCTTACTAGCAGCTGCTGTGGCTCTCTGGTCTTGTTTTGCTGTCGTAGCTCAGACCCAGGAGTTCACCCACGCTACGTGGCACGTCGTCCACACCCAGCACTGGGGCCTCACGCAGCAGGACTGAGCTCAAAGTCAGGCAGAACTGTCTTGAAAAAACTAAAAAACTAAGTCAAGCTGGTAACACACACCTGTAATCCTAGCACTCAGGAGGCTGAAGCAGGACAGACACTGAGGGTAAGACCAGCCTGGGCTACGTACAGAGACCCTGTCTCAACAACACAAAACAGAACATCAACAAAGACAACAACACTCCTTACATGTCTTCAGGCAGGTAGGCCTCCTGATCAATTTGAACATCAACATCTTTCTTAGTGGCAATTTTATACATAGGGATGGCTTTTTGCACTGCAGCCTGAAAAACAGAAAAGAATAAAAGATCTGAACAAAATATAGAGCCAATACCCAAAACAAAACCCAGACTACACAAGCTAGGGTAACCTTCTTTTTATTTATTTATTTATTTATTCATTTATTTATTTAGTATGTGTGTGGCCAGCTCAGCCCACCAGGAGGCGGGGCTGGCTGGCATGTGGTGCTGGGGGATTGAACCGTGGTCTCTGTGCTTTGCTGAGCTTAGCTTGTTCTAAGTAGGTGCTTTAGACCACTGAGCCATCTCACCAGCCCTAGGGTAACCTTCTAATCTTACGTTCAAACAACAGATGCTCTGGCCAGAGTGGAGGCAGACATCTGTAATCCCAGCCCTGGGGAGGCTGAGGCAGGATGAGGGCCGTGCCTGAACCACAGAGCAAGACCCTCTCTTAAAAAGATTAGAAAGAGGCTCTGCTAATCGGAATGCAAACTGGTGCCACCCTGGGGGAGGAGGTAAAATGACAGCCTGCGCGGGGAAGGGAAGGATGTGTGGGCCTCAACAGGCCTGCAGCTAACCACGGCAGGCCAGATTCCAGGCATGAAGCATAACAGGAGAGGCTCCCTCCCCAGCAAGGAGCATCAGGGCTGCGAAAGGAGATGTGGCAGAGAGGAATGCAGCCATGGGGCTGGGATGGAGACGCAGGCCCCACACACGGCATGCAGGCGGCTACGTTCCCCCAGTGCTGACCTCCAAGTTGGATATGGACAGTTGCAAAAGAGAGGGTGACAACACACATAAGTGGTGCTACTTCTATCCACAGAATGGCTACTATGGACCAACCAGGTGCAAGTGCAGTCCCAGCTACTGGGGAGGATGAGGCAAGAGAACTGCCTGGACCCAGTGTTCACTGACAGTGGGGACAATGCAGTAAGGCTTGGCACCAACTCAACCCAACCCAACTCATGGAAATAAAAAACAAGTGCTGCTAATGATGTGCAAAAAAAAGTGGGGATTGAACTCAGGCCTCTGCGCTTGCCACGGAAGCGCTTATTCCACTGAGCCATCGCCCCAGCCCCCTGATGTGTACATGTTAAACGACACAGCTGACTGGGAAACTATATGACATTTTCTCAAAAAGTCACCCACAGAATTACCTACAATCCAGCACCTCCAGTTCTGGTGAACCCCAGATAAGCAAAGGAGACTCAGACATGCCCTTGTGTGTCTACACACAACAACAGTATCACAACAGCCAGAGACACCAAGCAGCACCAAGGGAGGTCAGGATAAGCACACTGTGGCAGACCGAGGATGGAAGGTTATCAGCCTTAAGAGGGAATGAGCCAGGCATGGTGGTGCGTGGTAAATCCCAGCCTTCCTGTAGGCTGAGGCAGCAGGCTCAGAAGTTCCAGCCCAGCCCAAGCAATTTAGCAACTTCATGAGACAGTATGTCAAAACAGTGCTTTTTTTTCTTCTTTTTTGTCTTTTTGAGACAGGGTCTTCTGCTGCACTTCAGGATAGCCTTAAGCTTACTTTGTAGGCCAGGCTGGTCTCAAATTTACAATAATCCTCCTGCCTTAACCTGCCAGTGCTGGGATTACAGGCATGTGCCACTATGTCCAGCCTAAATAGTAAGTTTTAAAAAAGGGCTGAAGATGTAGATCAGTGGGAATGCCCTGAGTTCAACCCCCATTCCAACAACAGCAGGAAGGACAACATCCCCTCCTCCCACATGCCTCACCTTCACCAAGGGGAAATCTTGTTTCCTGCACCGCACAATCATTCGGGGCTCCAACAGCTGGTACAAACCCTGTAAGAAGTCAGGCGTCAACAGGGGAAAACACCACAAGCTACAGCCGAGGTCTGCTCAGCATCGGCCCCTACACACGGAGAGCAGCCCGCGGGGCGGGCCCGACCACAGCCCAGGCCCCTAAGGTCGGGCCGCGCCTCCACCACACACTTGGCCAAGAGCATGAGGCAAGTCAGGGCTCACACCCCAGCAGGAAGCCACGATATCTGAAGCACGTGTTTTCTTTTCTTTTTCTTTTGGCGGAACCAGGGATTGAACTCAGGCCCTTGCGCTTACCAGGGAAGCGCTTATTCCACTGAGCCATCTCCCCGGCCCCAAAGCACGTGTTTTCATGGTAAAAATCCAACTAAGGAAGCTGAATACTGGAGGCTACAAGAAGATTTGCACCTCTCGTACAAAGAAGTAGTAAGACCACACTGCGGCAGTGTGCCCAGGAGACTCAGGTCTCACCCCGCTCACACCCCAGCCTGTTGCTCTTCAGTTACTCTCCTTCCTGAGAGCAGCCTTTTTCTTTCAGTGGTACTGACCTGCATCCCAGCCCTCCCTCCCTCCCTCCTTCCTTTATTTTTCTGAAGCGGAGTCTCTCTCTGTAGGCCAGGCTGGCCTGGGCCTTGAGGCAATCCTCCTGCCTCAGTCTCCCGAGTGCTGGGATCACACATGTGTGCCACTCTGCCTGCACATCCTGCAATTTTCTTAGAATGACTATACATGGCAATGGGGCGGATTAAGAACACCTGGCACACACCGGGTGTGGTGGCTCGCGCTGTAATGCCAGCACTAGGGCCGAGACAAGAGAGCTGCTGTGAGTTTCAGGCCAGCCTGAACTACTCAGAGCCCATCTCAAAATAAAAACAGATTACCTGGAGCACCAGTCCATCCAGCAGAACTTGGTACCTGGTTGTATCTTTCACCACCTTGCTGAGCCTCTGCTTTGCTTCGGTGAGCAGGTCCTGAGAGTGGAAAGGGAGAGTCACGCACACATCGGGGCAGTAGGTCAGAGTGCCACACGGGGCCTCGCTTCAAGGCACGTGTTAAGGCAGGTGCCGTGCTCAGTGCGACAGGCGGTGGCTGAAACAGCTCAGCCTGGCAGAGCATCTGTGTGACACGCCTGAGAGCAGGCCGCTGAGATGGGCAGAGGAGGCTGTCCCTCTCCTTCTGCAGTCCTGGGGACCAGGCCTGTGTACCTTGGCTCTACCACTGAGGTTTGGCCCCAGCCCCCACTGTATTTATTTATTTTTATTTATTACATTTTTTTTTATTTATTGTGTGTGTGTGTGTGTGTGTGTGTGTGGCCGGCTCAGCCCACCAGGGGGCGGGGCTGGCTGGCATGTGGTGCTGGGGGATCGAACCGCGGTCCCTGTGCTTTGTCAAGCTTGTTTCAAGTAGGTGCTTTAGCCCACTGAGCCATCTCTCCAGCCCCCCCACTATATATTAATTAGAACAGTGTGCAATAGAAAATATCCAAAAACAGATTAAAAAAATAGCAACCATTTGTATTTGGGAGGCTAGATTTTGAATCATGTATTTATGCTGGTTTATATTTTTTTCTGTCCATAATGAAGTTACCTCTACCATGAAAAGACAGGCATGGCGAAGCACTGTGGGAGGACAGATCGGAGCCTAACCTGGGATACATAACGGAGCTTAGGCCAACTGGACTGTACTAACAAGACTGTCCCAGAACAATGAAAACCGAAGAGCCACACAAGACCAGCAAGAGGATACCGCTAACGGGAAAAGAAAGTCGCCAAATCCACGGTCTTTGCAGCTGAGGTATATCTCCAGGCCTTTTCCGATACAATTTTTTTCTTTTCTTTTTTTTCGTAGGGGTGCAGTACCAGGGATCGAACTCGGGACCTTGTGCTTGCCAGACAGGTACTTAGGCTGCTGAGCTAGCTCACCAGTCCCAAATTTTTTTAAATTTTTTTTTAAATTATTTATTTATTTTTATTTATTACATTTATTTATTGTGTGTGTGTGTGGCCAGCTCAGCCCACCAGGGGTGGGCTGGCTGGCATGTGGTGCTGGGGGATCGAACCGCGGTCCCTGTGCTTTGTCAAGCTTGTTTCAAGTAGGTGCTTTAGACCACTGAGCCATCTCTCCAGCCCCAAATTATTTTAAATTTTGAGGCCATGGCCTCGCTAACTCACTGAGCTCCCCAGGCTGGGCCTGAACTCACAATCACCCAGCCTCAGCCTCCTAAGTGCTAGGATTACGGGTGTGTGCCACCGTGCCCAGCTTGCAGGGAACTACTGATTACTTTCCTTGCTACTTGGATGCTGTTGGCACACGGGAAAAGTACGTATTTCTCCATATTCTCATTTTTTTTGATCCTTGGTCCTTCTGGATTGTAGTGTTTACCAAAGATACAGCATGTTTTATCATCAACGATTTTGATATCCAGTCCTGGCCCTCCCTTTATCTGCCTTTATCCTGACTTCTTTTTCCCTTCTTACCTTGCAGCTCCAGTTAGGGAGACCCGATGGTCAATCAGATATTTGAATTTGTTCCTTTGAATAGGGTGCTGCCAGATACGATCTACAACATGCGGAAGGGCACCCTTTGTGGTTGTAACTTTCTTAGGAGGAAGCAAACTTTCAGGACAAGGACTAGCCCTGGTTGCAGAGGACAGAGAAAGCAGAACCTCCTCAGGGATGAACTCATTCTGAAGGGATGTAGGAAGAGGTTTGGAATGATCCATCATTTTCTTTTCTCCCTTAACTCTGGAAGTTCTCTCATCTCCTTAACTGCGGATACTTTTGATTTTGTCCAATTATATGATGCTACGGAGCTTAACAGTGCGGATGTTTTCGGGAGTGACATGATAACGCTTCCTTTGACTCTTTTTATTTTTTAAATTTATTTTATTTTTTTGAGGAACGGGGGATTGAACTCAGGCCCTCATGCTTGCCAAGCAAGCGCTTATTCTACTGAGCCATCTCCCCGGACCCCCCTTTCACTTTTTAGTAAAGTGCAATATTCCTCCAGAAAGGTGACTCAGAAATCCGCGTGGTACTGGCACTTTCAGGCTACCACATCGGCACGCAGTGCCCTTGCGTACGACAGCTCCATGGACTCAGAGATTGGCAGGGTGAGGGCTTGCACCATTTCTTCATTTAAACCAACGAGAGATGGACACTCGTAACCTGTACCAGTAAATCGTATTTCCTGCTGGGCACTAGCGGCTTCGCCTTTCCTCCATATTCTCTTTGAACCCAGTGAATTTTCTGGCTGAATTATTAGTTTTGCATAGATAATTACATGGGCAAAAACTGGTGATCAGTTCTCCCCAGTACTGATCTCCACTCTCCATTTCAGAAGGAATCTAAGGTCTCCATAGCAAGAAGTAACAGTGAACTGCAGGTACCTGCCTGGTTCCTGAATAAAATTCAAACGCCCCTTGACTTCCTCAGGACAGTGCTGTGTTCTGCAGGTTTCTGACCTCTCCGCCGTGACTGTGATCCTTCCCAGCCCCCTTCCTGGCCCTCAGCTCTCCCAAGTCACATTCATCCCACTCTCTCATACCATGGGCCTGGCTGGCGTCAGTCCGTGGCGTAAAAGTTCCTGAGGTTCTCTACCGGAGCTGGCAGCTGCTCAGGCTCACCACACTCCCCCGCCCCTCTTGCCACCTGCCTGGCACATGTGCCCACACCTGCTCCCCCCATTCTCCACCTCTGTGTCCACACCTAATGCTCCCGCTCACCACCTCCCTTGCACATACGCCCACACCACCATGCTGCAGGGCTGGGAGAGCCTGCGAGGTCAGAAAAGTCCCTGCAGTCGGGGCCTGTCCTTCCTTATGTTTGCATCTATCATACACCATTCCTAGCAGCATCGCTGCTGAACAATTGTCACTAAAAACGACCCACTGACTCCTTTCTGTTAATGAGTGATGCGGTACAATGGGCGAATGAATAAACATTTTATAATGCTATAATGGATAGGTCCAATGACTCACAGAAATGAGGTCATCTCTTGCTCTGAGGACTTTCAGCCTGGCTTGATTCATCAAGTTAGACATCTGACTGCAAAAGTTAAGAGAAAATTGTATCAGAACACACCACAGCAAACACAAACTAGAGGGAGAAATACACAGCTCCCTCTGTGCACATGATGGTCATCTGGTAAGCAACCATGACCTCTCGTGCTCACGGCCCTGGGGACCCATGCTGGGACATATTGAGAGGTTTCTGCCAATTTATTTTCAAAGATAAGGACAGTTGGGCATGGTGGTGCATGCCTAGAATGGAATCCTAGCACTTGGCAGGCTAAGCCAGGAAGATTACCTCAAATTTAAGCCCAGCCTGAATTACGTAGGAGACCCTGTCCCAGAGGCCAGGGATATAATTCAGTGGCATAAGTGCTTGCTTGGCAAGTGCATGGTCCCTAATTCAATCCCTAGTACTGCAAAAGAGACCCTATATCAATAACAAGCCATGGGGCCGGGGAGATGGCTCAGTGGAATAAGTGCTTGCCTGGCAAGCCTGAGTTCAATTCCCGGTTCCACAAAAAAAAAAAAAAAAAAAAAAAAAAGAAAGAAAAGAAAAGAAATAACAAGCCAGGCGTGGCAGCGCATGCCTGTAATCCCAACAATCTGGAGGCTGAGGCAGGAGGATCACTGTGAGTTCAAGACCAGCCTGGGCTACAAAGTGAGCTCAAGGCAGGCCTGGACTGCATAGTGAGACCCTGTCTCAACAAGACAAAAAAGGGGACACACTTAACGAGTGCTTACCATGTGGCTACGACTCGCATATTTCAACTTAATCTTTCAACACTCATGGGAGGGGGGGGGGTGTAGTTCAGTGGCAGAGCGCTTACCCAGCATGAGCAGAGCCCCAGCACTACAAAAAGAAAGAGGCTTCTGTACTCAAAATGAAGGAGACAGAAGGTAAACTGCCTGCCCAAGGTCAGACAAAGAGCAGACAGGCAAATAAAGGCCTGGACTGCAACATGCCTGCTGTCCTCCTCTCACTGACCACTGGGAGAGCGCTCGAGAGACGTGTGCTGGGGTTGGCCGGAGCCATCACCCTGGCGAAGCACATTCCCCATCTGCAGCCTCCGCTCTGTTTACATCTGCAAGCCCCTCTCGTTTCCTGCTGTGGCCCTGCCCCACCTACATTTTCTTCTGCTGCTCAATCTGCTTTTCCTTCTTCTCATAGTATTCCATAATCTTCAGTCTCTGCGTTTGCACAAGACGACCCTTCTCAATGTTGAACTCTTCCTCTGCCTACAAGGGAATGGATTAACGTTAATTCATCTTAAAAGCCACATAAATTCACACATTAGATTTTGGCAAACAGGTTTTTTTGTTTACTTCGAGATAGGCTGGCCTTGAACTCACTATGTAGCCCTGACTAGCCTCAAACTCATGGCAGTTCTCCCGTCTCAGCCTCCCGAGTCCTGGGATTACAGATGTGCACCACCACATCCAGCAGTTTTATTTTAGCAGCTGCTGGTAAGGGTTATTTATCACGTCCAGAAAAGGAAAGTCACCGTGATGCTCATCTTCAAATTGCTAATTTATTTAAAAAGAAAGACCAGTGCTATATGAACAATGAACCAAACAGTAAATATTTTATTTATTTATTTATTTATTTTTCCTGCGGAACCAGGGATTAAACTCAGGCCCTTGCGCTTGCCAGACAAGCACTTATTCTACTGAGCCATCTCCCTGGCCCCAAACAGTAAATATTTTAATCAAGGATTATAAGGCTGGGGATATAGCTCAGTGGACAGTGCTTGCCAGGCCAGTGCAAGGACCTGAGTTCCATCTCAAGTGCACCTTTCTGGCCCTGAAACCAGAGGTGGTGGCTCACACCTGTAATCCCAGCGATGGGGAAGCTGAGATAGTGAGACGCTCTATCAAATAAATTTAAAAAAAGAAATGGTAATTGATATAAACAATGTGCAATTATAGATATCTATAATGTAATTTTAAAAAACCTTGCAACATCTTGGATTGAACCCAGAGTCTTTATACTGAATTACCTGCCAGTCTTTTTTTCTTTTTTAATGAATTTAGGACAGGGTCTACAGGATCTCACTATGTAGACTGGACTCGTAGTGATCCTCCTCTTTTTAGCCTCCCAGGTGCTGGGATTTTAGGCACATGCCACCACACCCAGTCTCAATCACTAGCTCAGTGTGCCCCAGGGACAGGGCCAGCATGGCACGCCAGGGATGGAACCCTGGCTGCTGTGCTCTGCTGAAGCAGGTGCTTTAGTCTGCAGTTACCTGACTGGTCCTATTCCTACCTTTTCTTCCTCCCCACCTGCTTTTTTTTTTTTAAACAGCGGAGAGCATGGGCGCATTCTCCCCCACAACCACAAATTATACAGAAGTTTCCCGCATTGGGGGAATCGCAGAGTCAGCACATCTGGAGTGTACTGGATGAGCCTCAGCCTGCGCAGACCACGTCGGGATCACGGTATCTCCCCTGCCAGGTAACACGTCGGGATCACGGTATCTCCCCTGCCCGGTAACACGTCGGGATCATGGTATCTCCCCTGCCAGGTAACACGTCGGGATCACGGTATCTCCCCTGCCAGGTAACACGTCGGGATCACGGTATCTCCCCTGCCAGGTAACACGTCGGGATCACGGTATCTCCCCTGCCAGGTAAGTATTTTTACTTTTTTTTTTTTTAGTAGCGGGGATCAACTCAGGACTTTGTGCTTGGCACTCAGGCACTGTGCTGCTATTTTTACTTTTTTATTTTTGAGAAAGATGTGAGCCTCACTAAGTCCCTAAGTTGGGTAGGCCAGGCTAGGATTTATGATCCATCTGCCTCAGCCTCCCAGAGCCATGAGATGGTAGTTGTGCTCCACCATATTTGAAAAAAAAAAAAAAAAGAAAGTTTTCTATTAATGAGGGGCCTCACTGTTTTTCAGGGTGGTCTTGATCTCCTGGACTCAAGTACCTGCTTGCCTTCACCCCGTAAGTAGCTAAGACTAGGGACACATACAACCATGTCTGGCTTGTAACAAACTTAAGTGACAACCAGGCATGGCAGCACATGCTTATAGTCCCAGCACTCAAGAGGCTGAGGCAGGAGGATTGCCTGAGTTTGAGGCCAGACCAGGCTATAAAATCAGTTCAAGGTCAGCCTAAAGAGAACAGGAAAACTGTCTCAGAAAATAAAATGTTTCCAACTCCCTATAATTCCAATAAATATTATCCTTCTTTAAAAATATTTTAAAAATAAATAAATAAAATAAAAATACATACATACATACATACAAACATACAAAAAAACTTGAATGGGGCTGGAGAGATGGCTCAGTGGTCTAAAGCACCTACTTAGAACAAGCTTAGCAAAGCACAGGGACCGCGGTTCAATCCCCCAGCACCACA